TTCCCCTGCCCGCTCCCCAGACTCAACACTCACTCATGCTTGTGCGTGCACGTGGCACACACACACACACACACACACACACACACACACACTTCTCTGCAGTTCAACTCTGCCATGATGTGAGATCAAGGTAATGCCAAACAAATCTCTCTGTCCCCATAAATGTATCCTCTGACCGCAGACATTTGCTGGAAAGAAAATACTGTTTTCATTTGTATCAAGCGATGTTTTCTTCCTCAGCAAAGCACAAAGGGGGCGGACTCCGCACAAAGCCACTTTCTGGGGCGCCCAGCTAGTGCTGTTCCAAACTCGTCAGGAGCAGGGCATCCCTGACCCCAGGAAGGGAGCCATCTGATCCTGGGTCTTTGACCTTCTTCTCTCTTCCCATACCTGTCTGCACAGGGCTGTCGGACAGGAAAAGGTATACAATATTCACAATGATCAGCCTGCACACATGTCTGCTGACTTTGGGGACTTGGGCTTGCGGATCCCTCACGGTAGGAACTGGTTACAGAAAGCTGCCTTTGCCCGGTCTCCCCATCGGAGCAACTGTAGGGGAAGCAAAGACGAGGTTCATGCTCTCGATGTTCTCGCTGGATGGCAGGACGTATTTCTCAATTACAATGTAATCAGGGCAGAGTTAGAAATGGGTGCTTCAGTTTAATAAGGTCTTTGTGGTAATTGTGAACTCACCATCCCTTATGCTGGTAATCATGTAATTACGATGTGAAAATGGGATGCTCTCATTCTATAATAGCATTTTATCTTCCTGGAATTAATATCTGAATAACAAACCCCAAAGATATTTACTTTAAATGTTTTCTTGGTTAATTGCCTTCGCCCTGACTATTAAATTCTTTGTTCTTAAACTGGTCTTTCAAGTTTAATCTGCTTACCTGTTCCTGTAGCAACAACATTTTTTGGACCTTCAAGGGTAGATCCCTTCTACTATCAAAGCTGAAGAATTTTTCGAGACTTGAAAAGCACCTTGGCTCAGGAGGCTGTGTAACCATCCTCTTCCTTCTTCTTGATTTGACACTCAGATAGCAATGTCTTCCAGTCCTTCAAGAGGGTAGCCAGAAATGCTCTTCTGGCCACAAGTGGGAGATCACCCTGACTTCCCAACAGTGTTTCAGTGGGGAGTCCATGATCCCGCGTGTTACAGCTTCTCCTCTTCTTGAACACGTCTTCCTCAGAAGGCAGGGTCTTCTAATACCCTCCGCCCCCCTGCCTCAATCTTCAGGTTGGGACACACCCGAGTGTTTCCTGTAAGCTCCTTTCTGCACCTTTGCATTTTTTCTTCAGCGTCTTTCCAGAAGAGTCATCTACTTCCTAGCAGACATTCCTGGTTCCAGGAAGCTCACGTCCTGTTCCACTCCTGCCTTGCATTTCCAAAAAAGCAAGCTTATTAAGAGTTACTCTTTCTTCATTACATGCCCGGGAAAACAAAACAAAAAAGCCCGCCCAGGTGACAACCCACTTTCTATGCAGCTGAAATTCCAGTTAGGAGAGGGCTTTTGATATTGTAAAGGACACTGTTTCCTGGGAAGCGGTCAATTGGTGAGAAATCTCAAGGAAGTCTCAATTGGCATTCGTATGTCTACTTCATACTCACCAACTATCTGTGAACCAATAAGTCACATTCATGACAATAGTTAACGCCAAACCAAACCCTTCTATCTGACTAGTTAACTCATTCATCACACATTCCTGTCAGTAATAAACGCTGAGGTGTGAGGCCGGAGTACTGCTGGCTGGGATGGTTATGGGTTGTGGGTTTATGCCGAGCCACCCATAAGTAACAGTTGAAGAAATGTTTGGTGATCTACTTGTGAAACCTTAGCCATTGAAAATTCTGTGGACCTCAGTCCTACTGGGACATACCTGGGGTCATCAGGAGTCAGAGGTAATGAGAGCGTTGGCAAAGTTTGAAAGAATCCAGTAGTGACTTCCTGCAGCGGTGGTGGGTGCATCTGTTATAATGCTCCCCTGAAACCTGTTCTAATGCATTTGTTCACCCAGGGCTCTGTCGGCCTCTGCATCTGATAACTTTTCCACTTCTTCCTGAGAACATTGCACACTTAACAGGAGAATATGTTCCTTCCTATAATAATAACAATAGTTTTTTTAAAAGCTAAGGACATTTTTCTTCTTAGAGTCCATAGGATCTGATACATTATGTGTGCGTTTTTTAACTTCCTAGGCAAGTCTGTCTTCAGTGATTTGAATGTCAATCCCTTTTAGAAGGGATTAAGTACGTCAGAAATATGTCACATCACACTGCTTACAGTCTATTGCTTTATGATGCATACTGAGTCCAATGGACCTTTGCAAAAGTAATCCCTCTAATGATGGAGATGACAGAACATCAAATGTCAGAAGAAAACAATCCACCAGGGCTTAGCACACACACACACACACACACACACACACACTACCATAACAAAAACTGTAGTCCTACTACATAGCCATGGGAATATTTCATTTCTAAAGCTCCTTCGGGGTCTTAACTATCAATAGTTAGTGAAGGGGGACGACACAGACTAGTGAGAATCTACTTTTGTTCCTTCACTACATGCTTTTCAAAAGAGTAAATTTCATCCCACATACATGTTCAGTCGAATGTCCCTCCTCTCACCTACACAAAGAAATGGGTTTATGGAGAACATTTTGAAGGGGATTGTCCTAATTTTGCCTTTCATCAATGCGGCGAATGGGAGTTTGTCCACCCACTAAGGAAAAGCTACAGCTTGGGGAGTGGCTCTCCCTAATCCCAAATCCCCAGCCCTCCCCTCCCCCATAAGTAAAGCCAGGACTTGGAAGTTCCTCTCCCCCCTCCCCACTCTGGAGGGCTCTGCCAACGTGGTATTGTCCTGGCGAATTTGCAGTCGGACGTCTTGCGCTGGCAGGCACTGGGCAGGCAAACAGCTCTTTCTCTGGAAGTTGGGTACAGAGCGACCAGCATGGGGCAGTCTCCTTCTGGCGGGCTGCACCGCCCGCCCGGGAAGGTGGTAAACAGGGAGCCGGCCGCCGGGTTCCTCCTGGCAGAGGGCGACTCGGGGGCGGAGTTCCGTGTGCCAGGTCCTGTCATCTGCCCAGAGGAGGTGTGCGCTCCACAAGGAGTTCCCATCGGCAGGGTCGGTGCGGTGCGGCAAGCTTGTCCTGGACGCGTCTGCTCACCGGCGCCCCGGGCAGGACGAGGGGAGAGCTGTGGTCATGGGGGACCCCTCTGAGAAGGGCCAGCGCGCTTTGCTCAATGAAGGAGAAGAGAATGAGATGGTAAGGTCCCAGCCACCTTTCCCCTGCCCGCTCCCCAGACTCAACACTCACTCATGCTTGTGCGTGCACGTGGCACACACACACACACACACACACACACACACACACACACACACTTCTCTGCAGTTCAACTCTGCCATGATGTGAGATCAAGG